TTTTAACACGAAACGAAAATTGTTTTAAATAAATTATAGCGATGTGACTGTTGTCATTATAATTTATTATTACTAACTCTTCTAAAAACATAAAGATGTCGAGTTTAATTTCCAATATATTTTTTAAAAGGTGCCAAGTTTCAAGTTATTGTATTTAGAGCAATTTTGTGATTTTTTAAGCTCTCACAATTTATATGTAATATTGACTATTTTGATAGGTCTAAACTTTCATTTTATATTCTATTATGGCTAACAAGAAAGTATAATATCACACCACCCAGAAAGACTTATATTTCGCAGTGTTTAGGTAAAGATAAAAAGTCGAATTGGAAACAATAAATTTGCAGTGAGGATTTACTTATTTCGCCGAGTTGTCGTGACGTGCACCTAAAGTACTATACTACACTAATCGGCTTATGTTTAAAAACTTGGAGAATTGATATTTCCCGTTCTCTTAATACCCTCATCGATGCTGGTCGTCGAGCTCTCAACACATCCATTTTAAATTCAAAACTCTAAGTCAAATATAATTTCGTTAAGTTGTAATGTAACTCGGTATATCATTCCAGATGTTTTGTATTAAGGAAAATTTACTGGAACTACATCCTATTTTTTGAAAAACTGCGACTTAATATTAATTTCATCTTCATTCACTATAATGATACATTAAGAATTAAGCTCATTATATTTTGTAATCGTTATTCTTAGACTGTTTTTCATTAATCATAATAGTCTAAAGGTTTTTGAAAACTCGTATCCGATTATATGATATGACGATTAACAAATATTTATAAATATTGACAACCAATTCAAACATGAAATTCGTTCATAAAAAAAAAAAATTATCAGTTATTCAATTTAGTACTATTCTTAAAGCTATAGTATGAAAATTGACTATAAAAAATAATTAATTGTATAACTTGGCGGGAATTTTTTATTTATTATTTTATTTGATTATTACAGAACTTTGAGTCAAATTTAAAATTCATAAAATATTTACAAATGTTTTGCAAACTTTTAATTAAATTCATTTTATTGGTACATAATTAAAAAATGTCTCACAAAATGACAGATAAACTTTTTATAGAACATTCCAAAAAGCAATTATTAATATATTATTAAAAAATTAAAGAAAATTATTTCGCTTCATTATTTAAATATTTAATAATATTCAGTGACGTTCGCAGAGTTTTTTTTGTGAGTGGAAATATACATAAGTCCTTATTTTTACCTTATAAATTTATCTTATATTTATTTTCGTCGTGAGAATTTTCTATCCCACTTATACCCTGTTTCGTAAATACGTCCATGATAATCTCATCAATCACAACGACCAATAATCTCTTGTTCTATTTTTGAATCCAATAAACTTAATAATATATTTTATATAATTTTATAGATACTACATGAATAATTATTACAGAATGAATCAAATGGAAATATTACTCAGCTACTTTTACACAGAATAATACATGATAAAAAGAATTACGAACATTCTATTTTCATTAATGAAATGACTAATTTTACACTAAAATCAAATGTATAAAACATGATTTTCGAATATGATAATACTTTAAATAAATACAGTAAACACAGCTTATTAATGCACTGATTTATAATAACACTCAGCAACTTTTTTTCTCAACAAATATTTTTATCTTAGTAAAAGACATTTAGTAAAGAAACATAATTATCCCTGAATTTTTATATTAATACTGTTGCTAAGATAGCAATAACTGTCATTTTTGAAAGATTAAGTGCAAAATTTTGTATCAAATGTGAAATCTGTAATCAATGTTATAAAGAATGTGACTACATTTTTAGATTCGAAGAAAGCAGATTTGGCGTACTAATAAAGATACTGAATTGTATAATAACGCTCAACTTTGTTCAGTTATATCATATAATTTCAGAAAAAGTTCAATTTGGATTTAAAATCTCAATCAATAATGAGGCGTTTATAATGAAATTATAAATATCAAAATAGCTGTTCTTTTTATAAAATTAATAATTCTGTATTATTGATAATTACTTAAATAAGTACTTTAAAATAATAATAAAATAAATAATTTAAATAAAATAAAAACTATATTAATATTATTAATTTAATAACTAAAAAATATTTTAAAAAATTATTAATTAAATTTTATTATCAATAAAATAATTTAAAAATAAAAAAATCATCTAAAATTTATTACAATTTTATAGAATCATAAATAATACATTATAATTTCACACAATAACTTATTTCTATCCCACTTTGTTCTAACTTTGGACTGATAACTTTCAATTATATAATTTTTCAAAATATCTTCTTAGTGATTATTTCCTGCATAATTTGTTAGAATTTAAGATTAAATATTTTTATACTTAATCTAGTCTGTCCATACTTCTTTGCATAGTGTTAAATGTTAGTTGGTCCTTGATTTAAGCCATATTGGATTTCAAGAAAAATTAGGTTTACCATACTTTCCTACATATTAGCAATCATGACAATTTTACAGCAGTCAATTAAAATGATGAAGACTCTATGATCTTAGTTTTTTGGAGCATCTGGTGTTATTTCTGAATAAGTAATGTGATCTTAGATAACTGATATTTTTTACCCACGGTGGATACATATCCCTCATATTTTCAATTTATTTAAAAATAAGGTTTTTAATATAGCATATAAGTGTTTTAAAACAATGTTTTAATAAATATCACAACTATAAACCAAACTACAAAGTTTGAAGTTTTATTTAAGTTCGAATCGATATTTAACTATAAAAGGTTTTCCTTAAGTTGATTTTTATTTATTTTCGTAACAAGATTGAACAGTTACATTTTATAAAAGAGGAATAAAATGTTACATTACTCTGTCCGGTGCCAGTATTTTGATTAAATTCTTATTCAGTGTGGCTTTCACAACAAAGACCAAATATCATATGTGCATACTAAAGAAAAATCAAAGTAAACAAAAAATATGTTCAGGTAAAGCCAAATAAAAAATGAGAGCATGAAAAACATGAATGTGATTCCAGTAAAAATTTAACTTTAAAATAAACGAAAGACAGCTTATTTTATTATGTCAAACATAAAAATACCTTTTTCACCTTAATTTATAAAGTTAAACTGAACCCATAATGTCATGAAAAACATTTGGTACTTAAAATACTACAACAATAAAAACAAGAACATGTTATTAAGATTTTCCCATGGATGACATGAAATTTAAATCACGATATTGTACTTAAAATATAAAAAAGATATACTTTTACCCCAAAAGGCTCTGAAGAAGGAATGGCATATCACCTGGACTGCCTGAAAAGAAGATCCTAATGATGTAAACGTTAATTTTCAATTTATTTTTATAATAAATTTTGTCTTAAAAGAATTACCCAAAAAGCTTAACTTTTGTAATTTTGTAAAAAATGTTCAACTAATTTTCTAATTGTACTGAATAGATGTATTTTTAATTTTTTTTTTCCATATATAACAAAAATTCTAGAACACCTATTTATATGATGAAGCATTTTCTGTAGCGTAGTAAAATTGCCTACACATGTCGCCGTTTAATACAAATACTTGAATAATCCCTGCCAGTGTTTTCATAGTTGTTTACTTCAAAAAAAGTTTAATTAATAATTGAAATTGAATTTTTCTTTTTAACAAGTTGTAAACAAACTGTATATATATTTACCATGTTATGTATTAAAATTAGTTCAAATATTTTGTTTTATACTCAATGTAATCTTCTTATTTTTTTAATACATCATGTAAAGTATTACCCAAGTATTAACTTCAGAAGTTAGTAGATTTATCAAACGATGAATTTATTAGGTGACAAAATATTTGTTGATGTTATCATCCGATCCAAATGTATAATCTAACTGTTTCCTAGTAACATTTAATTGCCTTTTCTTGTTAATAAAAATGCCTAATAAAATATAGATATTCCTATTATAAATTATGATAAATTCTTCTCGATTAAATTCATGTCAATATGTTGCCTATATAATAATAATAAACAATATAAATATTTCAGCTACTCTTAGTGATATCGTATATTATGACACATCTAGTCCAACACCGGTATAAATTTAAATTACTATATTAAATTATTCATAACCTTGCAGAGAATTTTTATATTATGTTTAAGTCAGCAATTAATTAAAGAAATAACCTTTTTTTTATAAATAAAATAACTGAGTATGTTATACGCAATATGTGCACGTAAAACACATATTTGTTTTACTCATGTCGTATTAAACTACTTGCAAATGTATAATTTTGCTAATGTTCAAAATATATGAAGTTATTTTGGTAACTCTGTTCCAAATATTTATTCACAAACTATTTAACACATTCCATACCAAGATAAATGCTCTTAAAATGTTTTTATACTTTAAGTAAGTACGTCAAAATATAAAAATTATTTTCCTTTTGATAAAATAATTTAATATTATAATATATTTTCGAAATCAAGTTTAATGAATCTTATCAATTAACCAATGGCTCTATCAAAAATTTTCTAATCTAAGACAATATTTTGACTCAACGCTACTTTGATTGATGAATATGATAATTTAAATAGCATTACCTATATGTAAAATATTTTTCACGCGAATGAAAAATAATTTTTGCAGCTTTTTTAAAAATTGTATACATGAATTCTAGTAATACACATTACTTACAAATCCAGAACACCATTTTTGAGATCTTTTGATATTAAAATTTTAAAATAAACTTATTATTATTTGAATAAAACCAATAGTTTTTATCGATATTAACCACGATATATCAAATAAATATAAAGTCTTTTAATTTACTTTTACTATCAGACTTTTTTTCATGTCATTTTGTAAAACAATTATCGCAAATATTTGAATTGAAAATTTAATCTTCAAAATTCTGAAACTTATTAATCATAAGTTTCTTAATTGTAGCAGGTAGATAGTAAATGTTTCATAAACTAAAAAAACTAAGGGAAATATTGAAAACATTTTATTTTACTGTACCGTGCCCGTTGAGTGACTCTCGGATCGTCTTAATTACAGCCATCGAATCTATTAAAATGACAAGTGAGGAAAATCTATTTTGAAATACATGGAATATTACGAACGAAACAATTGATACGGTCGAGGAGAGCGCGCGGATCTCACCACCTTCGGATAAAGACTGACTGTCGACCGCGTGGTTCCCGCCAATTTCCCATGCGCTTTCGCCGCCTTACATCTTAGCGCCGCCCCAAAACAACGCACACCGACAGCCTTCCTCGCGGGACAACCTACGAGAGTCTCATTCGGGTCGAGATGTTCATCGAATTGACCGTAAAGATAATGTCTGAAAAGTAAAACATCTGAGTATCCTCAGCAGACAAGATTTGAGGTCTAAGAGAGCGACCAACACGATACACAGTGTCTAGTAACACTCAATTCCTTACCGTAGAATATTTTATGAACATAACTAAACAGTGCGACAAATTTTGGTGTTGAAACTTTTAGAAAATTACAAAATAATTTAATCGAAATCGACCTAACGGATTTTATAAAAAAAAAAAGTCGAATAAATAGTATTAAATGACAACATAAACGAGACAAAAGTTGCAAACAAGAAAATTACATGAGATTTCTATTCCGTACACGTCCAACAATTCAATAGACAACAGAAGAATTTGAAGTATAAAAAATATTGTTAGTGAAAGTTATTTGACGTTGTTAATATTTTACCTTTAAAACGTTTAAGATTCTGAAATTCACTCAGAAATTTAATATTTTTTCTAGGAAAAAGTTCGACAGCCATATGGTATTCAATTTTTAATTTTCTTCGTAATTTAATTTAATTTATTTTCTTTGAAACAAAAAAAATGCTTAAATTAATTAAAACACGCGTATTGTTTTCATGTGTAATGAATTTTATACATTTTCTTCAAATTAAACAAGGTATACTGTTTTTGTGTCACTATGAAAATTAAAATAACAAAAATAATACAAACTTTTTGGTAATTATTACATTTTTGCTAAAATTGTTTTAGGTTATCAAATATGAATGTATAATTATTTATATGTTAATTGAAGAATTGAAACAACACATAGGAACCTTTAATATTTAAAACATATACCAGAACAATATTGTACTTATTATAAAACATCATTAGCTATTAATGTAAAAGTACATATTTTTATTACATAAGTAAAACCAGAAAAATTCAAATTTCTAGCTGTTTATTTTTTCTATTCATATAAACATGATAGTGCTACTTTCCATTAAATTCAATATTTAGGTAATGATGTTGTAATTTTGGGGCAATTAAAAAATTAAAATATTTTAATAAAGAAAATTTCTATTAATTTACAATTAAATTGTAATTGTAATTACATACAGTACTTTACTATTAAATTGCTCATTTCAGTTTATTCATTTGCAAACAAAATTCGAAAATTTAGCCTATTTCATACTGTTTACAAAGATTTTTATACGTATTTGGCTTAACTTTTAAAACATTTTCCTTTTTTTCTGATTAAAAGGCTGTGATAACAAGCTAATCCTCTTACAAAAAAATGTTTTGGTAAAATAAAATATATCAAAAACTTCATTAAGTAGAGGTACAAAAAAAGGTATTTATTATTTATTGTTGAATTATAGCAAAAATATCAAGTACTCATTTATTGTATTTAAATGTAAAACAATTTTATTTTTATTTCGTTTAAATATTTTTCAAACGTTGACTTAGCCGCTTATAACAAGCCCTTCAATTTCGTCAATAGATCCATATTCAGAAAATATAACGCTGCGGCGTTTTACAGTGTAAATATCCATTAAAAAAAAAAAAAAAAAAAAAGAGTATAAATTTAAAGATTATTAATCCTTGAAATACTATTGTTAATTGACTTTCATTATAAAATTTATTAAGAGCCAATTAAAACAAGCCGTAATGGAATTCCAGACAGTACTTTCAATTGTGTATTGCCAACAGTAGTAAAAATTGATGTATTTAATAATTATATAAAATGAGCTGTTCATATTAATTATATTCGATTTGCAGCTTTGATTAACGTCATATTCATGTTTAAATGATATACAGTTTTTCAGCGTGAAAAATATTTCAAACTAAATACTTGTACCATAATTAGCGCAGTTTTTTTTATAATTAGAAGATACTGTTTCTGCTTCCTGGTTATAAGCTACCACTGGATATTTTTTCATTCGATTACTGACACAATAATCATAAATCATTACTGCAAAGGTCCAGTGCGTATATCAATATGGTCGCATTACATCTCAGCTTAATGCGTTGTACTCCCACAGAAATATTATGCATAATTCATTAGAACTACATGGCTGTTTTGCGGTAGTCCTTAAAGTCTCATTCTCTCATGTTGTGGTTAGCTCTTCGAAATTCTAACTACTTCCCTGGTATTCAAGCATGACAATAAACAACTATAAATAATAAACATAATATTAACAACAATCAAATTGAAAAATTTAAAAGAGATATAAAAAGGTATAATAATTAGTGAAAAAAAAACTAACATACGATATTTTCCGATAACAATTACAGATACATTTGACTTTCGATAATTCGCCAAAAATTTCAACTTAAACAAATACGAGTAGTATAAAATAATAAAGATTTTAACTATCAGCTTTTAATGTTTATTATAGAATGTTAATAATGAAAACTGTTCTAAAGCTAATATTTTTATATAAAATAATGTTGGTAGAATATTCTGTAAAGAAAACATGTCGTTTTAAGCAGCTGCATATAATAAATCATACACGTTTTACTTATTTTTCAAAAATTTAATGTATGCTTTGTGAGCCTGACATAATTTAAGCACCCCAGAGGTATTTGTTTCAGTTGCCTTTCAGTGGGGTAGGGAGAGATTCGAAAGCTAAGTTTAATTGGGTTGGATTATAATAAAACTAAATATTAGTATCTAAATTGAAATATTATGAATCTTTCTAAATTGATAATTAAATTTTGTAAAAATAATATTTCCCTTTAAATCATAGAGATTTTTAGGTTTAGTAAAAATTGAAATTGCTTCCATAAGCAGTCATTGAGTTATGAAACTGTAAAGCTTTCAGTTTAAATGTTAAAATATTTTTATGCCTTTCATTTTTTAAGTATTTCATGAAATAAATACAACATTTTGAAACACTATGCAATTCGGAATGGAATGGACAAAGAGAAAAGAATATATACAAATTAGCGATGAAAAGCTAATTTATTTTTTAAACAGTTATATTTAAAATAAATTGAAACTTTATTTAACATGATTTATTTAAAATATCTCTATCTTAAATATCTTAAATAAAAAACTAATAATATTAACATTGTTAGTATGTAAGTTACTCCATTCTTTTACTTTTAGATATTTATTAGCAAAACATATATTATCTTATTTTTAAATGCATTAAACAGGTGTACTTATTTTTCATAACCTATTTGTACATTAACCTTCATTTCTAAAATTAAAGAACGTCTTACAATAATATTTTAATATTTAAAACTGATTTAGAAATAAATCATTTACTTTTTTTGTTTAAAAATTCATCTTTAAAGAATTAGCAATTGAAATATTAAAGACAATATCTAATGAATTCAGAAATTTCAATTCTTTTTGGAACAGTAGTATTTATTTTTAACTTTATCCACCTCTTATAGAGATGTTTTATTTGTGAAACGATTATACATTTAAGTGCTATGGGGCTGTCAGTTTTCGATCACACCTGTATTAATGATTTTGAATACAGATGTTGGAGACTAATAGACACTAGTTTTTTGCCCATACTTTAAAATATGAAAATTAGCTAAAACAAAACCTTTTAATAAGTGCTTTTGGTCAATAATAATTTTATTGTGTCGTAATCGTTAGACAATGAGATTTGGTCTTTAAGATTAAATTTAATTTAACGTAAATTTTACTAAAACTTTGTGTGTTATAATTGTCAAATGTAATCCAATATATAGACAAAAAATTGAGTTACAAAGTTTGAAATGAAATGAAATGAAAAATGAAATGTTATAGCTTAAATTACAGTTTATATTAAGACTGTGTTAGTTTTAAAATAACTATATTATGATATATATATTTATATCAAAAATTAATTTCATAAAAACTATATATAAATAATATTTTCTTACCTTATATTATAATGACCACGAGAAATAGAATAATGGTAAAAAATTATTTAATTAAAACTATAAAATGTTCAAAAATATTACTATTAAAATCAAGTAAACCCGTGACTTCACATAGGTTTGTTGATTTTTCATAATTTTTAATTAATTTTATACTTATTTATAATTTTATCATAACATAAAATTTACATTATATTTACTATAAATGAATAGTTTGATAGAAAAAAATATTAAAAAGTATTTAATGATATAATGATTTAATTATGAAAATGACTTATTGATAATAACTATTGAAATTTGAGAGGAAGAGTTTGGCCTAAAATTTTTAATTTTTATAATTGTTAATATCAATATTATATTAAACTATTAGTGCGTACATCCAATAAATAATTGTAAGTTGCACAAATCATGTTTATATTTTAATAATAATTTATAGAATTACTTAGTAATAAAGTAAATTGTGATTACAACACAAATGTAGAAAAAAATTAATTTCATTACAAAATTTAAAGAGTTTCTATTTGACGTGTATAGTTTCAATACAAGCTAAAACCATTTTTTGAAATTTTTCAGGAACAACAAAATAAGATAATGAAGTTAATTATAAGATAATTAAGATTTAACTCAAAGATTTTATAATATATATAATATTAAAGCTTGGGAGTGTAAACACATTGTGTGTGAATATTTACTTTAACAAAATATTTTTACAAGAGTTATTTAGTTTTATAATTTTTATACTGCTGGTTTTATAGCAAATTTCATCAGATGGCTGGTTTTGAAGTCAACATTTTTTTTTCTGTATACATGGCTGGTTAAAAAAATTGAATATGTGATATAGGTAGTTTTGAAACTAATATTGAAATAAAAACTATATATTATATTTTTTACTGCAATCTTAAATTAATACTTATAATTTAAATATATAAAAATATTAATCAGTATTAATATAGTAGGGCAAAATATAATCATTATCAATTATTATTTTACCGTAAAAAAAACATAATTGTTTTTGGCTTGTTTTGAAATTGACATTGTTAGATGGGTGACTTTGAAACCAATCATATTTTTCCATGATTAATTTAAACCAGTTATAGCCTATTTTTAAGTAAAATATTTTTACAGGACATTTAGTACAGTGTAATTATTTAGAAAATACAAAAAAATCGTTTTAAAAAAATTCACTTATAGCTGTTTGGAAACTATACGCCTCATTTGTAATAGCGTTGAGAATATTCATCTGTTACTTTAAATTCCAATTCTAGATTTATAAAAAAAATTATTAGACTATGAAATTATATTAAAATTAATATATTTTTTATTTTAAATACCTTGTATATATTGCTCCCCTGATTTTGGTAAAAATGTTTCTTCAGTAAATGAATCAAATTTAAATCCCAGTTGAAAATAATTTTCTATAATTACAGTCTTGATATAATCTTTAAATTTTCTGGTTAAAAAATTTAAAAATACTAATTTTTCGTCTTGTTTTATAATAGTATTATATTCTAGAATCCATTCATGCCATAAATAATTCTGATTATAAGATACAAATTCACAATATGAATCAGTATCATATTGTATATCTTCTATTATACTATTAGAAAATGAATATATAGTGTGAAATGCCCAAATGTATGTATATATATCATCACGGGATAGAGTTCGTTCGTTTAATTTGTCCAAAATATCTCCTATTCTCTCCAACAAAGGACTCATTATGTAGTGATTGTTGTTTTTTTTTTTTTTAATATTAGCCCATGGTTTATAATGTATTGAACCTAAAGCATCCATGGCGTCTTTCATCAATTTTGCTGTTGGAACAATAAATAAAATTATTATTTTCATGAATTCTTCGGTATAAGTGATAACATTGTTTTTTGAAATGTTTCTTTCTTCATCTATTTTACAAAATGATAGGCCGTTTATTATAATTAAAAAAAAATTATTCATAACTTTTACATATTTGCATCCAAGATGTACAGTCAAAGCTCGTATCTTTATCATACAAAAAGATTTATGTGTAGGTGTTTCAATTAAATTTTCAAGATAATATGTTTTTTTATTATATGTTATGAAGTTGACAACATTTATATTATTCCATCCTGGATACATTAATAACGTATCTAATTGTTCTATTTGATATTTTGTGGCATTTTCTGCTTTCGTGTAAAAAATTATATACAGTAATAACACGCTAAACTGTACTAGTTTTAATGAAAACATAAGGAAGATAATTAATTATTATTATGATTAAAAATTTTTGAACGAAATACAATTCGATAAATTATAAAATAACACGTATTTATTCTGCATTTAAAAATAATAAGATAAACATTTATGATAAATCATATGTGGTATTATTATAATTTCCTTTAAATAGAATTGTTACCTAATGAACTTGTATGTGCAACACAAAAATATTTCCCTACGGCTTAATTAAATGAATGAAAAATGAAAACTTGTTTCTCACTATTCTTATTATAATAAAAAAATATTTGGTTAAATTATGGCTTGGTTATTTGGGTGTATACCCACCCAAATAATAATAAGGTTTTAATTTGTTTTAATAAAATCAATCATAAAAAACCCAGCACAGTTGTGTCACGGCACAGTGGTAATGTGGTATAGTTGGGTCCAGTATAGATAATATCTGACAGTGATTAAAATCACTATCATAAAAAACTCTTTGATCGAAATCTGTAGAGAGTGTTTAATTTGAAAAAATTGATGAATTATTCCAAAAGCAACATGATCTCTTATTTATATTTTGATTACATGTTTAATGATTTATGAATATAATATATCAATATATATATATATATATATATATATATATATATATGTTTAAAATATTTAAAGGGAAATGGTCCGATTTAACAAAATGTATGTATTAAAGAAGTATATAAATATTATTTCTCATAAAAAATATGTATTGATAAAATATAAAATCGAGAATTCAACACTAAAATAGTATATGTTAGCCATTTTCACCAAAACGACAAAATAAAGTACGAATTTTTTTTGTTTCAAAATATAGTGTATTAAATTTACTTTAATTTAAGATATATATAAAAGTGTAAGTGTTTCCGTAACAATTTCAAAAGTTAAGTTAAAAAAGTCAATTTTTTGTGAAAAACTTGTCATTTTAAATCTCCCTGGTGGGCAGGTAAAGGGTTAGATTTATAATAAAATATACAAAATAATAGGTAAATATATCATGTATCTAAAAAAAAAAATTTATATTGATTTGATTTTTTAAAAAGTTATGGCAGTTTTAAGAAAAAAAATGTCGATTACCGATTTTTAAATTTGTAATTTTTTCGCATATTTCCCTCATTTACGGGGAACGAAGTAAATTTTTTCAATTTTTGAAGGTAATGTGTTTGACTAGATAATTGTGATTTTTTGACGTATCGTTAAAAGAAATCGGTTCGGTGAGATCTGAGAAAAAGTGTTAACAGACACATAAAAAACACGTCATAGTAAAATTAACACCCACTCAGCTTCGCATCGAAGATAAAATAAATGACAAGATGAATAGTATTAATATCCCTGATCATTATTATTTTAGAAAATGTTTTGGAAATGCTTTTGAGCTTCACATATATGTTAAATTAATCTTGTTAGCCTGGAAGTTTAACAAAGATTTATTATTTCGATGTATAAATTCAACATTTATCATTTTGTTGTAATTTACATTTTAGTCTTGATGCTAAGCTCAAAAGGTATTAATTTTACCATGATGTGGTATTCATTTTTTTTATTTTTTTGTCTGTCACAACATTTTCTCAGCTCTAACAGGACCTATTTTTCTTAACGATAACTCAAAAGATTACAAATCGTATATAGTTGAAGATATTATTATCTAAAATTGAAAAAACTTATCTCATTTCCTGTAAATGATAGAAATCTATACAAAAAAATGTTAAAAATTTAAAATTAGTAATTTTTGATATTTTTTTCACTTTCTTTCTAAAATTTGCCATAACTTGTTGAAAAATGAACAAATCAAAATATTTTTTAGCTTCGATTCGAAGCTAAGAAGTTATTGGTTTTACTATGATGTGTTTTTTTTGTCTGTTAACACTTTTTCTCAGCTCTCAGGACCGATATCTTTAACCATAGGTCAAAAAATCATATCTAGTCGATGACATTACCCTCAAAAATTGAAAAAATTTCCCTCGTTCCCCGTAAATGGGAGAAACCTCCAAAAAAATTACAAATTTAAAAATCTGTAAGTGTTGACATTTTTTACTTAAAACTGCCATAACTAAAAAGTTATGGCAGTTAGTTGTTAAAAAAAAAAAAAATAACTCCAAATATATAAGAGTATAAAATTCGTTTTTATTTCGAATTACACAGTAAAATCATATCATAAAATGAAATATTCTCTAATGATCATTGACGTATATATTAATTAGCAAATTATTCAATTTGATTTCAAGTCTGAAATTAGATTTTTAGTATTACCTTATTTATTCATGAAAGATTTTTTTTATTGTGTTATTTATTTTTAAAAATAATCCGTGAAAATGTCATTTTTAGTTATTTTTTTAATCCTAAAATATTGATTTTTATAAAAGTTTATAATTTAAAAATTTTGGACTTCTAAACACTATTTTAACTCAACTTTCATGTATAGTTTTTATATTATTTAATAGAAAATTTATATGAGAAATAAATAATTTTTTAGATTGATATGTGATCTGAAACTTATTTTTTGCATATCTATTTTAATAAATCATTTTAACAGAATTTTTAGTTATCATTTCTATATAACTCTTGGTGTTTAAATAGAAACATTAAATAGAAATATAGATTACAGAAACTATATTACTATTAATTATACTTTTATTAGAAGATCATTTATTTTCATTAAAAATATGGAAACATTAAAAAAACCCAGTACATTAGATGGCGGCACAGTGGGGTCGTGGCATAGTTGGGTTCACTATAGATGATATCTGACAGTGATTAAAATCACTATCATAAAAAACGCTTCGATGCAAATCTGTAGATAGTGTTTAATTAAAAAAAAAATTTGTCAAAAAAGTAGGTCAAATGAGAGCTGAGAAAATAAATGATAGCTACAAAAAAAAAACCGCATAGTAAAATAATATTAATATGAATTTGTTCTCACGAGAGGAGACTACAGTAATGGAATCCTTGATATTTATTGAAGTTATTGAATCTAAATAAGATAAAAATCAAATGAGTTTTTTTTTCATTTTATAGTATAAGACATAACCTTTGATTTGATATATGTTTAAAGGACGCAGTATTTCCGGAACACTTTCAAAAGTTAAGTTGAAAATGTTCTATGTTTTATACAATGTTTCAAGTTTTGAACGTCACCTATATATGGGGAAATTGTCCAATTTTAATAAAAAGTATGTAAAATGAAAGATGTACTTATAATGTATTTAGAAAAAAAAATTTGTGCTAATAATTACATTTTTCGAAAAGTTATAGCATTTTTAAATTGAAAATTTAAAATCGTAAATTTTAACACAAAAATAGGGTTTTTTTAACTACGGTAGCCGTTTACATGCAAAAGATTAAGTTTCGTTAAAGTGTAGTTAAAAAAACGCTATTTTTGTGTTAAAATTTACGATTTTAAATTTTCAATTTAAAAATGCTATAACTTTTCGAAAAATGTAATTATTAGCATAAATTTTTTTTTCTAAATACATTATAAGTACATCTTTCATTTTACATACTTTTTATTAAAATTGGACAATTTCCCCATATATAGGTGACGTTCAAAACTTGAAACATTGTATAAAACATAGAACATTTTCAACTGAACTTTTGAAAATGTTCCGGAAATACTGCTCCTTTAAACATATGTAAAATTGAAGCTTATGTCATGTACTATAAAATTAAAAAAAAAAAATTTGTCTATCTTTTATGCGCAAATGGCTACCGTATTCAAAAATATGCAATTTTTATATTAAAATTCTGGGTTTTGTATTTTATTTTATTTTAAAATATTTAATTAGAGGCATACACTGACTTTCATGAATATTATATAATTTAATTGAAATAGAATAAAGTTCATAAGACATAAAAATCAAAATTATTTACATTTTTTTGCTTTTTTAAAATCGAAAGAGTAACTTTTAAATTTGACTTAGCTTAAATAGCTAATTTTAACATTCTTAGAATTAAACACTATCTACAGATTTGCATCGAAGCGTTTCTTATGATAGTGATTTTAATCACTGTCACATTAAATCTATACTGGACCCAACTATGCAACGTCCCCACTATACCGAGACCACACTGTGCTGGGTTTTTTTTATTTTAAATACCTTGTATATATTGCTCCCCTGATTTTGGTAAAAATGTTTCTTCAGTAAATTAATCAAATTTAAATCCCAGTTGAAAATAATTTTCTTGAATTACAGTCTTTATATAATCTTTAAATTTTCTGGTTAAAAAATTTAAAAATACTAATTTTTCGTTATGTTTAATAATGGAATTATATTCTTGAATCCATTCATCCCATAAATAATTCTGATTATAAGATACAAATTCACAATATGAATCAGTTTCAAATTGTAATTCTTCTATCATACTTTTAGAAAATGAATATATAGTGTGAAATGCCCAAATGTATGTATATATATCATCACGGGATAGAGTTCGTTCGTTTAATTTGTCCAAAATATCTCCTATTCTCTCCAACAAAGGACTCATTATGTATGGTTTTTTGTTATTTTCTTAAAAATCAGCCCATGGAAGATTATTTATTGAATCTAAAGCATCCAATGCACCTTTCATCAATGTTGCTATTCGAACAATAATTTTTATGAATCCTTCAGTATAAATGCATACATTTATTAAGTCAATACTTTCTTTCTTTTTATTTTTACATATTTGTAGGCAGTTGATAATAATTGTAAAAAGATTATGTATTATTTTTGCATAAATGCATCCAAGTAATATAGTCAAAGATCGTATATTTGTCTTACATAGACATTGATGTGTTCTATTTTTTTAACTAATTCAGAGTTTTCGTCATTAAACAAACAAAAGAAAAACTTATGATGTTAGATAATATTAAAGTTATGACACTGGGTCAGTTTACTGAACCGTCATAAGTGAAGGGAGGAGTAAATTTTAATTAAAAATTAAAAAATAAAAATTTTTATAATTGTTAATATTACTATTATATTAAACTTCTCGGTTTGTGCGACAAAAATATAATTGTATAATACATATTTTTATATTTAAATAATAATTTAAAGAATTACTAAATAATAATGTAAATTGAGATAAATTATATAAAATAAATCTAAAAAAAATTAATTTGATTACAACATTTACAGAATTTTTATTTGTATTCGCCTTTGAAATTCATCAACTGTTGCTTTAAATTCCAAATCTAGATTAAAAAAAAATTAGAAGATGATATTAAAATTAATATATTTTTTATTTTAAATACCTTGTATATATTGCTCCCCTGATTTTGGTAAAAATGTTTCTTCAGTAAATGAATCAAATTTAAATCCCAGTTGAAAATAATTTTCTTGAATTACAGTCTTTATATAATCTTTAAATTTTGTGGTTAAAAAATTAAAAAATACTAATTTTTCGTCGTGTTTAATTATAGCTTTGTATTCTTGAATCCATTCTTCCCATAAATAGTTCTGATTATAAGGTACAAATTCACAATATGAATAAGTTTCATTTTTTAAATCGATTACTATACTATTAGAAAATAAATATATAGTGTCAAATGCCCGAGTGTATGTAGATATATCATTACGGGATAGTGTTCGTTCGTTTAATTTGTCCAAAATATCTCCTATTCTCTCCAACAAAGGACTCATTATGTAGCGAATGTAGCTATTTTCTTTAAAATCAGCCCATGGAAAATTATTTATTGAATCTAAAGCATCCAATGCACCTTTCATCAATGTTGCTAATTGAACAATAATGTTTATGAATCCTTCGGTATAATTGCATACATTTATTGAATCATTTCTTTCTATCTTATTATTTTTAAAAAACTGTAGGTAGTTTATAATTATTGAAAAAAGATTATTCATAACTTTTGCATATGTGCATCCAAGAAATATTGTCAAAGCTCGTACCTTTGTGTTATATTGACAGCGATTTGTAGGTGTTTTAATTAAATGTTTAAGGAAATAAGTTTTCCCTTTATATTTTATAATGTCTACCATATTTAAATTTTTCCATCCCGAATTTATTAATAAATTATCTAACTGATCTACTTGTTTTTTCGTAGCATGTTTTGCTTCTGTATATAAAATCACATAAAATAATAAAACACTAAACTTGATAAGTGTTAATGAAAACATATGGATGATAATTAATTATTATTACGATTAAAATTTTTTGAACGAATTACAATTTGACAAAATGTAAAATGACACGTATTTATTTTGTTGTACATTTAAAAAATTAAGACTAACATTTATGAAATTATAATAATAAACCTTTAAATAGAATTGTTTCCACAAAAACTTTTTATGTGCGACACCAAAAAATTGTCGAACGGCTTAGTTAAATAATCGAAAAGTAAACACTTGAAGTTCTTTTTATGATAATAAAATAGGTTTGTTATTTATGGTGTACTATATGTTTCTTATTATTATTAAGCAAAAAGCTTGAATATTTGTATTTATAATAAGTTTTAAATTTATTTTAATGAAAACTTACGGAAGATAATTATATATTTTTATAATTGAAATTTTTTTTAACGATATACAAATCGACAAGGTGTAAACGTGACGCGTATTTATTGTTTTCTGTATTTAAAATGAATAAAATTAACATTTATGATAAAACATATGTAGTATTATAATAATATCTTTTAAATAGAATTGTTTCCATATAGGCTTTTTATGTGCGACACAAAAGAAATGCTATATAGCTAAATTAATTAAAGAAATGTGAAAACTTGATGTTCATATTATGATAAATATATAGGCTTGTTCTTTAAATTGTATGTTTTATATTAATTTTAATGTCATCTGTTGCAAATATGGACAAATAAGACTGTAGCCACCTCAATATCACATAATGTACTAAAAATATTATTTAATACCACAAAAATACGATATAATCGAATTTTGAACGCACTTTACTTAAACTGATCTGGCACTTAATTGGACCAAATGTTGCCTCTGCTCCTCTTTCCATCGACTTTTCCTTGGATATTGTCATGCCACCACACCGACATGTTATCTAAGTCAGATACGCGACATTTAGCATACATGCGATACTACATTAAAAAAAAAGAAAATGGAAATCTGTTACCTTGACAATATATCCTCTCTTCTAGCAGTTTCTTCTTATGAAAACTGATTCTAAATGGACTAGTTTGTCACCTAATTTTCCAAAATTGATACTTGACGAATACGAACTATCCCGTCTACGACTGCCTCACTATAATATTACAGATAATAATTACCACGAAAATATGATATTATCGTATTTAAGACGCTCTATAATTAAATCAATCCGGCATGTATTTGGACCAAATATTGCGAATGTCAACTGTAATTTTCTTTTACTGAGAAAAAGCCTAGGTCGATTAACACAAATTAATAAAACAAATTTTTTCTACATGTGCATAATGGACATTTATTAGGAGAATGTTTTTTTTTACAAAAAAAAAAATAATTTACCGGGTCCTTACCTACTACATGTAAATGACTCTTGAAGTTTACAAAATGTTTAATATTTTGTAAACAAAAAGTTTATTATTTCGATGTAAAAAATCACTATTTTTCATACTGTTATAATTTTCTATATTTTCTTTTTTTGAATTATTTATACTTAGAAGTCTAATTTCAGATTTGAAAACAGTGCGAAAATTTGATTTAGAAAAATATATTTTTAATTCTGTTGAAATTTCCTTTTAGACCAATGTATTTATTCATAAGTAAAAAAAAACGTTACCCCGATGATTTATCTTCTTTCTAAAAATGTACGTAGAAGTTAAACAAATTTATTAAATACTAATTCATTTATTATAATTATATGTCATGAAACTAGTAATCAGGATATAAATGAGGAAATATGAGTTCATTTTTCTTATATAATATCTTATGTCACTTATTTATAAAATAATGATTTAATTATGAAAATGACTAAGTTAACAACATAATTATACATAAGTTAGGGAAAAATATAACTGAGAAATTTTTGACAATAAAAACACCTGCGTCTTACTTAAATTAAATATGTTTATAATTGTTAATATCATAATTATATTAAACTTTTCTGTGTGTACAACCAATAAATAATTGTAAGATACACAATTTATGTTTATATTTTAATAATAATTAATAGTAATACTAAGTAATAAAGTAAATTGTGATTAATTATACAGGGTGTTTTTTTTTATCATAACCCACTGAATTGCTTGCAGAATAATAATAATTTAAACATTTTTTTTTTTATTATCTTTAGTTACACATTATTCTTGAATTTTTAACTATGTAATACTTTTTAAGTTCATCCCTTATGCCTTGGAGGGGGGTCAACTTTGTTTTTTTAAATGGTAACACATATTTTTAATTTAATAAAATGTTTGAGTTTTTAATTTAATAGTAAATGGCATTTGAATTTTTAATATAACTTTATTAGCTTATTAGATATAAACATTTAAAGTTTCAAAATTTTGAGTTAATATACATGTATAATACACATGGGATTGTAAATACAGGTAGCTAATTGGATTTTTATGACATTGCTGTCTCAGTCACGGATTGTTTATTATCAATTATGATTATCAATAGATATACTTTCTGTATTGTCAGTTAGTGTATTTATAAACTCATAACAATGTGCCTTACTACAATTGATAATAACAATGCTGTGTATCTGCTAATATCGATGTTATAAAAAACCAATTAGCTACCTGTATTTGTAATCCCTTGTGTATTATACCTATATATTAACTCAAAAATTTGAAACTTTAAATGTTTATATCTAATAAACAAATTAAGTTTCATTAAAAATTCAAATGCCATTTACTATTGAATTAAAAACTCAAACATTTTATTAAATTAAAAATATGTGTTACCATTTAAAAAAACAAAGTTGACACCCTTACCAGGCATAAGGGATGAACTTAAAAAGTATTACATAGTTAATAATTCAAGAATAATGTGTAACTAAAGATAATAAAAAAAAAAAATGTTTAAATTATTATTATTCTGCAAGTAATTGAGTGGGTTATGATAAAAAAATCACCCTGTATAAAATAAATATAGAAAAAACTTAATTTTAGTAAAACATTTAAAGAGTTTCTATTTATAATAGCGTTGGAGGTTTTTCATCTGTTGCTTTAAGCTCTAATTCTAGATTTATAAAAAAGCCAGTTCTAGAACTAGTTCGTGAGGTAGGAAGCTATATCTTGGAAGTATATTCTCTGCATGTGTACCCGCCAGCCATAAAGGACTATACCAACAACCTCTCGCTAACGTGTATGCAGATGGCATAAAACGTATATTGAAATAATATTTATTATATATCAACAAGATAAACTGTGTCCGGGCCAGCCAAGGCATTACGCTGGGCAACCACAGTCTTGTTAGTTATATTTTGAATATAGATAGTCATATTCTTATAATTATATTTTGACAAGTTCAGAGTAAATCGAAAATATTATTAGTAAATATATAATATAATATAAAAAACCTAGCACAGTGGCGACGTGGCATAGTTGGGTCCAGTATAGATTTAATCTGACAGTGATTGAAATCACTATCATAAGAAACGCTTCGATGCAAATCTGTAGATAGTGTTTAATTCTAAAAAATTGATGGACAAAAGCAACATAAATTTCTATTTCCTTAATTATACCCAGATTAGTAATTGTTTTAATTAAATAGTATATAATTTTTAAAATTAATTGTTTTCAAATTATTATTGATTTTTATTTTTAATATGTTAAAAGTAATAATTTTTAACCTACTTTTTTTTGTCCTTTATAGTTAAAGTTTATAATAAAAAAAATGAATTTATTACCACAACTTTTTGCTCAATTTCAAGTTGGAGATTGACATCATTAAATAGAAAAAATGGTATTGTTAAGATTAATATTATAATTGTTTGTATGGAAAAAGCTGGTTAAGCTACTTTTTATTTGAATAAGGAATTTTTTTTTAATTTTAAGGGTAATATCTTTAACTAAATACCAGTTGTAATCATTTGACGTAACGTTGAAAAAAGTAGGTAAAGTGATTGTTGGTAAAATAAATCGTAGTCACAAAAAAAGTGCGAAATATTAATAGCTATAGGCGGATTCGAAACTCGTACCCTAAGCGTGTAAAATACAAGTGTTACCGATTCGGCAACTGTTCTTTGCTTTCGTCGCTATATAAAATTAGCAATTTAAGATAATTCAAATTTAAAAATTACTTTTTCGACTTAAAAAAAGTAAAAAAATTTTAATAGGTTTAATTTCTTTTGTCTTATGAACTTTATTCTATATCAATTAAATTATTTAATATTCATGAAAGTCAGTGTATTCCCCTTGTAAGATATTTTAAAATACAAAACCCAGAATTTTAACACAAAAATAGTATAATTTTGAATACGGTAACCATTTTCACCAAGAAGAAAATGTATATTTCGAATTTTTTTTTTTCATAGTAAAGTACATAATATAAACTTTAATTTAAGATTAAATAAAACTGTGAATATTTCCGGAACATTGTCGAGACAAATTTTTTTTTTCATTTTATAGTACATAACATAATTTTTGATTTGATATATGTTTAAAGGACGCAGTATTTACAAAACATTTTCTAAAGTTATATTGGAAAAATGGTTTTTGTAAAAAATTTGATATTTTAAATACCCATAAATCATGGTAAAAAGTATAAATAAAATAATAAATCATAATAGACGCAAGTCTTTTATTCAGAATATTTGCAATCTATACAACAAAATGGTACAATAAGTAAATTTGATTTAAATTGATAATTAAAATAACATGAACTATTATGATTGGGAAATGACTCATTAGTCACACCTCTAGCATGTTGTTTAAGTTAGTCTTTAGTTATTTAGTAGATCTTTATTCCATTGTCGTTTTAGTCTGCGAGGAGTGTTTAAGGGTAAAGTATTTGTTGACATTTTATTAATTAGCGGATTTCTATGTGATAATAAATTTTGATGAAATCGTTTGTAGTACATGACTGCAAGTTCTTTTACGTTTTTTATTTGTAGGTCTTTATGTAAATTTATGTTTGTTATGTACCATGGGCATTTGGTAATAAGTCTGAGTGCTATTGATTGAAACGATTGAATTGACCTTATATTTGATGGTTTTGCAGGACCCCAGATTTGGATTCCATAAGACCAAACTGGGCGTATTATAGATTTGTACAGTAAAAGTTTTGTTTTGAGTTGGAGTTTTGAAATAAGGAGAGGACGTAGAAGGTGTAGTCTGTTTCTTGCACTTTTTCTTTTTTCTTTTAGATGGGGGCCCCACATCAATCGTTTGTCAAGCGTAATTCTNTCTTTTAGATGGGGGCCCCACGTCAATCGTTTGTCAAGTGTAATTCCTAGGTATTTGATCTCTTCTTTTATAGGTATGGGAATATTGTTCATAATAATTTGAGGACATTCTTGTGGTTTGAAATTTAGAGTGAAGGTGATTTGAGCAGATTTATCTTTATTGATTTTCACTCGCCATTTTTTTGCCCATAAGTCAATAAGGTTGGCATGATATTGTAGTGAAAGACTGGCTTCGATTGGATCATTATTAATTGATAGTACAGCTGTATCGTCTGCGTATGTGGCTAAAATTGTTTTATCCGTTTGAGGGATATCGGCAGTGAATGCATTATAAAGGTCTGGGGATAAATCACTTCCTTGAGGTACACCTGCATTTATTTTTTGGTATGATGAGAATTCATTTCCTTGGCGAACGACAAAGTGTCTGTTTTCCAAATATGATTTTATTATGAGAAAATATGGAGCTGGTAAATAGTGTTTTAATTTGAATAGTAATCCTTCGTGCCAGACCCTATCGAAGGCCTGTGCTACATCCAAAAATAGACCGGTACAATAATGTTTATTTTCAAGTGTTGTTGCAATTTCATCAGTTAATCGGTGTATTTGATGTATTGTTGAATGTCTGTTGCGAAACCCAAACTGACTATCTGGTACAATATTATGTGATGATAGAATAGGACGTAGTCTTCTGAGTAATATTTTTTTTAAAAGTTTACCTAATACTGGTAATAAACTTATTGGTCTATAAGACGTAGAAAGATGTTTTGGTTTGTTTGACTTTGGTATTAAAATAATAGTTGCAAATTTCCAGATTATCGGAAAATATGATAATCTTAGCATCGCATTATAAATGTAGGTTAACAAAATCATGGTTTTTTGTGATACATTTTTTAAAATTTTATTGGTAATTAGATCCCTGAAGGAAGTTTTTTTATTAAATATTCAACTTCGCCTGGAGTTGTATATTTGGCTGGTAAAGCCATTGGTAGTGGAGATATTAAAAAGGATTTTATTTCTTCATTGAAATTATTGTCAGAGTATAAATTAGTATTTGGAATGAATGTTTTTGCCAATTGTTCTGCAAAAATGTTGGCTTTGTCTTGGTCCGTTATAGCTAAGGTGCCATTTTCTTGACGAATTGGTGGAATATTTTCTTTTTTTTTTTTTTGAGCTCCTATTCTCTCCAACAAAGGGCTCATTATGTATGGACTTTCATTATTTTCTTTAAAATTAGCGCATGGAATATTATTTATTGAATCTAAAGCATCCAATGCACCTTTCATCAATGTTGCTATTTGAACAATAATGTTTATGAATCCTTCGGTATAATTGCATACATTTATTAAATCATTTCTTTCTATCTTATCATTTTTAAAATAGTGTAGGCAGTTTATAATTATTGAAAAAAGATTATTCATAACTTTTGCATATGTGCATCCATGAAATATTGTCAAAGCTCGTACCATTATCATATATTGATAGCGATTTGTAGGTGTTTCAATTAAATTTTTAGAATAATAAGTTATCCTATTATATTTTATAATGTCTACCACATTTAAATTTTTCTATCCCGAATACATTAATAACTTATCTAACTGACTTGTTGGTTTTTCGTAAAATCTGCTTCTGTATATAAAATCACATAAAATAATAAAACAATAAATTTGACAAGTGTTAATGAAAACATATGGATGATAATTAATTATTATTATGATTAAAATTGTTGGACGAAATACAATTCGACAAAATGTAAAATGACACGTATTGATTCTTTTGTGCATTTAAAAATAATATTACAAAAATGTACGATAAAACATATATGGTGTTAAAATAATTTCCTTATTCCTTAAAATAGAATTGTTTCCACATAAACTATTTATGTGCTACACAGAAAAATTGATGTGCCGGTAAATTAATTAAATGAAAAGTGAAAACTTGGATTTCATCCTATAATAAAGAAATAAGCTTGATTATTTGGATTTATAATAATCTTTTAATTAATTTTAATAACATCATTCATATAAAATTAATAACAAGATAAACAATGTTTATATGCATTATATAATTAATAGGACAAAAAAAATTGAACAAAAACAATTTTCAGACACTTTACCTACTATATATAAATGACTTTTGAAGTTAACAAAATTAATTATTTCAATGTATAAATTCACTTTTTTTTTTTTTTTTATATAATTTTATATCTTTTTTTCAATTATTGATGCCTATATTTTAGGTTAAACGGTAACGACATATAGTAATAAAGCACTCTATATAGTAAGAAAATAAGTATCCTTCTTATAACATTTTCTTAAAATATATATATATATATATATACATATGTAATATAAAAAGTATTTATGTGTTAGTTATAAATTTTTCAATAACATAAATATAGAAGAAAATTAATTTTATTACAATATTTAATGAGTTTTTATGTGTATTGTCTTTTAGAATGGTTCTTTTACTACTGAGGTAATTATTTGTATTAAGTAATACTTCTATTTTTTTAACTAATTCAGATTTTTCGTCTTTAAACAAACAAAAGAAAAACTTATGATGTTAGATAATATTAAAGTTATGACATTGGATCGGTTTTCTGAACCATCATAGGTGAGGGGAAGAGTAAATTTTAATTAAAAATTAAAAAATAAAAATTTTTATAATTGTTAATATTACTATTATATTAAACTTCTCGGTTTGTGTGACAAAAATATAATTGTATAATACATATTTTTATATTTAAATAATAATTTAAAGAATTGCTAAATAATAATGTAAATTGAGATTAATTATATAAAATAAATCTAGAAAAAATTAATTTGATTACAACATTTACTGAATTTTTATTTGTATTCGCCTTTGAAATTCATCAACTGTTGCTTTAAATTCCAAATCTAGATTTAAAAAAAAATTAGAAGATGATATTATAAATAATATATTTTTTTAATTTTCAATACCTTGTACATATAGCTCATTTGGTGTTGGTAATAATGTTTCTTCAGTAATTGGATTAAATGTAAATCCCAGTTGAAAATAATTTTCTCTAATTATAGTCTTGATATAATATTTAAATTGTCTTGTTAAAAACTTTAAAAATTTTAATTTTTCGTCGTGTTTAATTATAGCTTTGTATTCTTGAATCCATTCTTCCCATAAATAGTTCTGATTATAAGGTACAAATTCACAATATGAATGAGTTTCATTTTTTAAATCTTTTATTATACTATTAGAAAATGAATATATAGTTTCAAATGCCCAATAATAGGTAGATAGATCATCACGGGATAGATTTCGTTCGTTTAATTTGTCCAAAATATCTCCTATTCTCTCCAACAAAGGGCTCATTATGTATGGACTTTCATTATTTTCTTTAAAATCAGCGCATGGAATATTATTTATTGAATCTAAAGCATCCAATGCACCTTTCATCAATGTTGCTATTTGAACAATAATGTTTATGAATCCTTCGGTATAATTGCATACATTTATTAAATCATTTCTTTCTATCTTATCATTTTTAAAATAGTGTAGGCAGTTTATAATTATTGAAAAAAGATTATTCATAACTTTTGCATATGTGCATCCAAGAAATATTGTCAAAGTTCGTACCTTTGTCTTATATTGATAGCGATTTGTAGGTGTTTCAATTAAATTTTTAGAATAATAAATTTTCCTATTATATTTTATAATGTTCACCGCATTTAAATTTTTCCATCCCGAATTTATTAATAAATTATCTAACTGATCTACTTGTTTTTTCGTAGCATGTTTTGCTTCTGTATATAAAATCACATAAAATAATAAAACACTAAACTTGACAAGTGTTAATGAAAACATATGGATGATAATTAATTATTATTACGATTAAAATTTGTTGGACGAAATACAATTCGACAAAATGTAAAATGACACGTATTGATTCCTTTGTGCATTTAAAAATAATATGTCAAAAATGTACGATAAATAATATGTGATGCTAAAATAATTTCCTTAAAATAGAATTGTTTCTACATAGGCTATTTATGTGTGACAAAATAAAATTCTGTACAGTTCAATAAAATAAATAAAAAGTGAAAACGTTTTGTTCTTATTATAATAAAGAAATAGGCTTGTATTTTAGGATGTATAATTTGTTTTTTATTTATTTTAATGACATCTGTTGCGAATGTGGACTGTATTTTTCTTTTGGCGAGAAGAAGGCTACTTAGGTCGATTAACTTCAAATTAATTATACGAATTATTGCTATATGTGTATCATCTTTATCGTTGTTTGATTTCGAACGTCGTGACCTTCATACAACCATGTTACTCCGATTGGATACATTTCTCCAAAACTCTCTATTCACCGTATTCCGAATACTTTCTGACATTGACATTTTCATGAGAATTTTAATTTGGTCTATATAGTTGATGATATGATTGCCTTTTCTCCTCTTTCTTTCGACTTTTCCTTGGATAATGCCATGCCACCACAACGACATGTTATCTAATTCAGATACGCGACTTCCGCGGAATATTATGTCGGCTAGATTATCTTTGCCGTTAACGTGATACCAGTCTAACTGAGCGTTCAAGTCTTGTATTTCACCGATTCAGACCAATCAGACCAATAAAATGTTTTGTTTATAACTATTATTACTAAGTTATTATTACCTATATTGTCACCTAAGCGCGCAAGTAATACGACAGCACAAAATTCTAATCTCGGTAAAAATAATTTCTTTAAAGAGACTAATTTACTTTTAGTGCTCATTAAAGCAATATAATTATTACCATACTCGTCGGAACATCTTAGATATAGACAACAAACATAAATATTTTTACGCAAAACCATGAACATTAATGTTTACCATTCTATTTTTTATTGTATTTCTCGTGGTATATTTAAGATATTTAACGAGTTCAAATCAGTTTTATATTTTAACCATTCTTTACGGATTACATCACTTACCGGCTCATTTCATAGCCTTTGTAATATTAATTTAGCCTTTATAATTATTGGTCCGATCAAAAGGGTCATAAATTCGAGCTATCTCTGATAAAATATCACGTTTGAACAAAATTCCAGCATAAACCTAATATTATCGTGATGGAATTATTTATATTTGGTAATTGGGTTAAGTTCACTTCAATGCCATTCGCATTACTAATTAACTGCGAGTCATTCGATGATCAGTCACCTAACTCAATACCGACAGCTAATGATATTTCGATAAGACCGTTACGTAATTCAGCAGATGCCGACTGCGATAGACTTACACACAAAAAATCATTCATATAAAATCGCGACCTATAGCGGCGGCCGCACTTGGAAACCATTTTCGAATGAGTTTCGAACCTGAAACAGTGCGCATCAAGCACTAACGCGTTACCGACTCGGCCACACCGTCCCACTATACCTAATGGTATAAATGTATAACGTTGATAAATTTTCTATGCCGACTGTTTATCAGTATGGTCTAAACTACTACTAATAATACATACTATTGCGATTACTCTTTTTTTTTTTTAACAAACGTTATAATTAAATAATCAAACGATAGCGTGCTTAATGAATAGAAAAAATTATTTATTTTCTTTAATAATAATATATATATAAATTTTTTTTAACGATATTAAGGAAAAGAATTTAATTCTGTTATCTTACCAATATTTTCTCTCTTCTAGCATTTTCTTCTCGACAGAAAATATTCGAAATGGACTGGTTAGTCACCTAATTTCCAAAATTGATACTTGATGAATACGAACTATACCGTCTACGACTACCGTTATATAATATTACAGATAATAATTGTCACAAAAATATGATATAGTCGTATCTAATACGCACTATACATAAACCGATCTGTATTATACTGTATTTATCTTTTAACGAGAAGAAGGCTACCTAAGTCGATTATCTATAAATTAATAAAACAAATTTTATTATATGAGCATAGTGAAACATTTAATAGGAGACTGGTTTTTCTCCACTGTAATAAACCAAAAAAAATCAGAAAAGATCAAATAAAAATATTGGTTAGATATATATGGCTGGTCTTTGGTTAAAATAAAAATACAATATAGCGTATATATTTTGCCGAATAATATAAAATTAGACAAGATAATAAATAGCGGAATGAAAAATGTTTAAATATGGTAAAATGTGTAAGGATGTAAAAAATATAATAATATGAATAAAGAGGGGTTTAGACGGATGAATAAACGAAGTTTAAATACATGAGGGTAATGATCACATAAATAAAAATGTACACAAAAGTTGTGACAAAATAGTAAATTGATCTCAGGGTTGAACAATATTGAATAAATTATGTTAATTATCCTACAAAACTCTATTCTTCTTCTTTTTTTTCTTCTTCCTCGCCTTAATCCCAACTACTTAGGGTCGGCCACCATTATCCTAAACTTCCACTTGACACGATCTCCCACATCATCTACACTCACATCAGCTGTCCTCGTATTGCATCCTACAAAACTTTATTACCTATCTTAATCGTTTACTACGCAATAGAATATTTATGATTTGAAAGCGACAATTTTAATTTGTACTTAGCTCGTGTCCCACGTAATGCAACAATTATTTCAAACAATTCAATGTTAATTATGAATTTACAATGTGTTTAACACATTGTACACTACGCGTTATGCAGTTAATATGGCCGTTCAAAAATAAAACGTTTAATTATAAATGATACGAAACTGTTACACATAATCTATGACTGTTTTATTATATGTAAGAGATTCTACGCACTCTGTGTTTCTATTATAAATATAATTAAACAATGTACCCTTATTTGATTTTGTTGAATAAGTATACTTTTGTGAGAGTATATTTTATTAAGAGATTGACACTAATATTTTTTAAATATCCCTCTGGCCTGGCCAAAACAAGATTCAAAAATATTAATATCTGTGTAAAAGATTTATCAAGGCGGAATTGTGGTGGCCTAATGTGTTCCGGCGCTAAAGGATGCGTCACAATAATTACCAAGACAAAAATTAAACACTAAAAAATATATTCGTAAGTTTCTCTGTGCTGTTTGCCGGCGCGATGTTCGTTAAAACAAAGACATTAAACTCAGCTACCCAGTATAGTTACAATACACTTAGTCCAGTAAAAATATTATTAAATTAGATTAAATTTAAGTAATTGTAACCTTTAGCTCATAATAAAAATTTACAATTAAATGAATAATTAAAAATGATTTGAAATTACTATAAAAATAAAATAATTTTAGAATGTTTGAGGTTTAAAATATTAATTGATATTTATTTCCATGATAAAATAAAATAATAAAACATCATTATTTAATGAACAAATAAATTTAAAATAAAAGATTCACCAAAACAAAATTCACTTTAAAATTACTCCAAGTTCAGTTTAATCTGAAAAAATATTCTAAGTCAAAATTAAATAAAAAAAAAAAAGTCACAAAGATTAAAAATTTTGTATATTTTGAAATCAACGAAAAAAACTGATTTTAATAGGAAAAAATGATATTTTATAGTAGACAAGGGTTGTGGAGCGATCCCTAGTGTGATCTTGGAAACTGTAGATCTTAATTAATAGTTAAATACGATTGGCTGGACTTAATTGAAAACCTACAAATAGGCGTTACTTTTAATCTGTACAATAATCAGATTTAATTCCCTAGTTTATTAATTATTTTATGTTTTAAATAAGGGAACCCAGTTTTGGTGATCATGTGAATTCATAAAATATGATTTACATGTACAAAAGATAACATAACATAATATTCTAAAATTATAAGTAATAATATAATATTACACCACTGAATAAAATTCGAATGTCTCCATATCAAACATTAAAAAAAATTTTAAAAAAATATAGAATTACGTATGGTACGCCGCTAAATATCATTCATACCAAATAAATGACGAGATGTATAATGTTGATATGTATTTTATAATTAATTGCATAATATAAATTAAAAAATAACAATTTCCCGGCCCCTTACTTACTACATGTAAATAATTCTTGAAGTTTACAAAAATTATTATTGCGATGTATAAAATCACTATCTTCTCTTTAAAAATGTCCATAGAAGTTAAACAAATTTATTAAATACTAGTTCATTTATTATAATTATAAGTATATCATGAAACTAATAATCAGGATATAAATGAGGAAATAGGAGTTCGTTTTTCTTGTATAATATCTTATAAAGTAAATTGTTATTAGTTATATAAAATAAATATAGAAAAAACTTAATTTTAGTAAAAAATTTAAAGAGTTTCTATTTGTAATAGCGTTGGAGGTTCTTCATCTGTAGCTTTAAGTTCCAATTCTAGATTTATAAAAAAAATATAAGACTATGAAATGATAATAATGTATAACTATTAAATTATTAATACTTTTACTAAATAACAAATATATATGAATAAAGCAAAAATCATCTAAGGAATGTTTCCCTTTTAGGATAATCAAAATAACCATTAATTAACACATGTATCAAACTAGTCTCCTACAATTCATTAACTATGCCTACATCAGGGTTTATATCACAATTAATTAATCACAAATAAATAAACAACATCTCAGGGAATTTCACTAGAGATCGCTCGTTTAATGTAAACATGTTTTACTCCTTCAAAATTCACGTAATAAACAAGAATAAGAATAAGTGAGGTAAGGATATTTTATTATTTGATAGCTCAATATAGTTCAACCCCTTTAATTTCATACTTCATCCTTACCCCGTATTATTATTTTTTTTTTTTATTTTTTACTTTTTGTTTATTACAATGATATCTAATTTGAAATACCTTGTATAATTAGCTCCCCTGATATTGGTAAATATGTTTCTTCAGTAATTGGATCAAATTTAAATCCCAGCTGAAAATAATATTTTATAATTACTATCTCGACATATTGTTTAAATTTTCTGTTTAAGAACTTTAAAAATACTAATTTTTCGTCGTGTGTAATAATGGCATTAAACTCTTGAATCCATTCATCCCATAAATAATTCTGATTATAAGGTCCAGATTTACAATACGAATCAATTTCATATTTTAAATCTTTTATTAATTTTTTAGAAAATATATATATAGTTTCAAGTTCCGAAGAGTATGTAAATATATCATAACGTGATACATTCCGTTCGTTTAATTTATCAAAAAAATCTCCTATTCTTCTCAACAAAGGACTCATTAGGTAATGATCGGTGCTTTTTTCTTTAAAATCAGCCCATGGTAACCAATGTAATGAATCTAATGCATCCATGGCGCCTTTCATCAATTTTGCTATTGGAACAATTACATTTATGAATCTTTCGGTATAAATGTTTTCATTTATTAAGTAATTTCTTTCTTTCATTTTATTTTTACAAATTTGTAGGCAGTTGATAATAATTGAAAAAAAATTATTTATAACTTTTGCATATGTGCATCCAAGAAATATTGTCAAAGCTCGTACCTTTGTCTTACATTGTAAGCGATTTGTAGGTGTTTTAATTAAATGTTTAAGATGATAAGTTTTCCCATTATATTTTATAATGTCTACCATATTTAAATTTTTCCATCCCGAATACATTAATAACTTATCTAAGTGATTGGCTTGTTTTTTCGTGCATTCTTTTGATTTTGTACATAAAATCACACAAAATATTAAAACACTAAACTTAACAAGTGTTAATGAAAACATATGGAAGAAAATTAATTATTATTATGATTAAAATTTATTGGACGAAATACAATTCGACAAAATCTATAATGACACGTATTGATTTTTTTGTGTATTTAAAAAAAATTTGACAAAAATGTATGATAAAACATATGTTGTGTTAAAAAAATTTCCTTTAAATAGAATTATAATAAGTTTTTGATTTATTTTAATAACATCATTCATATAAAATTAATGACCAGATAAACAATAATTATTTGTATTATGTAATTAATTAGATAATTAAATTAAATAGAAACAATTTCCTGGCTCCTTACTAATTTCGTGTAAATGACATTTGAAGTTAACAAAAATGTTTATATCGATGTATAAATTCACTTTTTTTTTCATTTTTTTATAATTTTCAATTATTGATTCCTATATTTTAGGTTAAACGTAGAAGCCATATAGTAAGGAAATAAGTATCCTCCTTATAACATGATACGGTATTTAAAGGTTAATAATAATCGTAACACCGTGATTGAAATTTGGTATAACTGTCGAGTCAGTTTGTTTTATTTTAATAACAATAATAATATTAAAAATACTGAAATATGCAAATAATACAGGTTTACAATATAAGGCGAGGGTATATCTCGACGACACGTGTGGCGGATATCAGTCACAAATGAACTGGTTTATATAGTCGCCGACGTGTCTCGCGGTGCTGAACCGACCGCCGTACAAGACAAACTAGTGTTATGGTCAACACTAATTAGTGCGACGGTGGACAGCTGATAATCACGACCGGATAACGTCCTAATTCAGTGTAAATGAATAGTGCACTATTACGGGCTGCGTCAATATAATATATTCTATATAATATAAAAAGTATTTATGCATTAGTTAGCCCTTAGCTTGGCAGATATTTATTTGATACAATATCAGACAATTTTTAACCGGAAATACTGTGATATAATTTAGATCGCCGATATTACACTTTGTGATGTTGTGGTGTCAGTATATTTTCTGTATTGAGTTCATTTGATTTATTAAATAGTTTAAAAATGAATCTAAATGCAAAAGTGTCATTAATAAAAAGTAGTATTGCTTCAAAAATAAATTTTATATACAATCCAAAACAACTAAAATTAAATCTTACATGGTGGACCGAAATAAATCCTGTAACAGAAGACTACTTATACATATAAGCTAGAAAAGTGACAGAATTATAGCCGTAAAATTAATTTTCGAGGAAATAGTAATGAATGTAATAAGTACCTATGCACCACAAATAAGATGTGATAGAATAGACAAGGAAGTGTTTTGGAGAGAGACGGATAATATAATGCAAGGAGTATCTGATAATGAGAATGCGATGATAGGTAGATATGAATGGACATGTAGGCAATGAGAGGAGAGGATATGAAAGAGTACATGGAGGGTATGATTTTAGTGGGAAGAATGAGGCTGAAGAAAGAATCCTTGATTTTGCAATATCATATGATCTTGCTGTGGTTAATACTTATTTAATAAAAAGAGAAGAACATTATATAACTTATAAGAGTGGGTGTAATAGATCACAGATTGATTATTTTATATGAAAGAGAAAGAGCGTAAAGCGAGTCATAGATTTTAAAGTAAAACAAGTAGGAGTAACACATAGTAAATCGAATACGAGGTAGGTGAATTGCGGAGATCAGAGAAAATAGTCCAGGAATTGATAGGAGAGGTAGAATGATTTAAGTATTGAGGATCAGTTTTGCAAAAGAGCGATGGTATTGACGAGGATGTAAGACACAGTATTAAGTGTAGGTGGTTGAAGTGGAGAGAAGCGGCTGGTGTTATATAATTAAAGAATTCCAATGAGACTGATGGTAAGTTATATAAGACTGTAGTGAGACCGGCTATGATATATGGTTCAGAGTGTTGAGCGGTTGACAAGAAAGCAGAGCAAAGAATAAGTGTAGCAATTATGAGAATTCTTAAATGGATGTGTGAAGTGACTAGAGAAGATAAGATAAGGAACAAACATATAAAAGGGAGAATAGATATAGTGTAAATTGTGAATAAGTTGAGAAAAATAGATTTAGATGGTTTGGTCTTGTTGTGAGGAGTGAGGAATCGGAAATTTAAATTTATTAAATATTTATTCATATATTACGCTTATACATCATAAAACTTAAATTCAGGATAAAATGAAGGAAATAAGAGTTTATTTTTCTTTAGAAATAATCCACACATTTTTTAAAATTAAACACTAACTACAGATTTCCATCGAAGCGTTTTTAATGATAGTGATTTTAATCACTGTCAGATATCATGTTTACTTGTCCCAACTATGCCTCTTCCACTCTTTGTTACTGATTTATGTTGATCTGTAATGCTATATTATATTGACCACACTATTTTTTCAAATGGAAGCATATTATATAGTTACCTCACTTATTTATAAAATAATGATTTGATTATGAAAGCCACTTGACGATAATAACTTTTTGTATAATAAAAATTGATAACTTGTGGCTAATTAATTAAATAAAAATAAAATATAACTATATTAATTTAAAAACTAAAAATATTAAACTAAAAAGCCATATAAAATTACTGAAAAGTTGTTGAGTTTTATATTTTTTAGTTTTTAAATTAATTAAATTTTAGACTTTAATTAAACCTTAATTAACCATTTTAACTTTTAGGATCAATATTTTAGTAGTCAATGATATCATTATACATAAGTGAAGGGGGAGTATAATTGAGACAATTTTTTGATAACACTTGCGCTTTATTTAGGTACTTAAATTTAAAATTTTTATAAGTGTTATTATCCATATTATATTAAACTTCTCGGTGTGTAAAACCATCAAATAATTGTTGGATACACCATTCATGATTATATTTTAATAATAATTTAATGAATTATTAAGTTATAAAGTAAATTGTGATTAATTATATAACAATAATTTAGAATAAAATTAATTTTAATTCAATATTTAATGAGTTACTATTTGTATTGACGTTAGAGTTTTTTCATCTGTTGCTTTAAGTTCCAATTCTTTATTTATAAAAGCAATTATAAGACTATGAAATGATATTTAAATTAATTTTTTTTTTATTTTAAATGCCTAATATCATTAGATTCTCTAGTGTTGGTAAAAATGTTTCGTCAGTAATTGGATCAAATTTAAATCCCAGTTGAACATAATTTTCTATAATAACTGACTTGATATAATCTTTAAGTTTTATGGTTAAAAACTTTAAAAATACTAATTTTTCGTTATTTTTAATAATGGCATTATATTCTTGAATCCATTCATCCCATAAATAATTCTGATTATAAGGTACAAAATCACAATATGACTCAGTTTCATATTTTATATCTTCTATTATTCTATTAGATAATAAATATATAGTTTTAAATGCCCACATGTATGAAGATATATCATCACGGGATAGAGTTTGTTCGTTTAGTTTGTCAAAAATATCACCTATTCTCCCCAACAAAGGACTCATTATGTAGCGAATTTTGCTATTTTCTTTAAAATTAGCCCATGATACATAATGTATTGAATCTAAAGCATCCATGGCGTCTTTCATCAATGTTGCTATTGGAATAATTAATATAGCTATTATGTTTATGAATCCTTCGGTATGAAAGTAAACATTGTTTATTAAGACATTACTTTCTTTATTATTTATACAAAATTGTAGGTAGTTGATAATAATTGAAAAAAGATTATTTATAACTTTAGCATATGTGCATCCAAGATGTACAGTCAAAAGTCGCACCTTTTTCATACATTGAGTTCGATCTGTAGGTGTTTTAATTAAATTTTCAAGAAAATATATTTTCTTTTTATATCTTACAAAGTTCACGACATTTAAATTTTTCCATCCTGGATATATTAATAAATTGTCTAACTGTTCTATTTGATATTTTGTAGCAAAATCTGCTTTCGTGTATAAAATCACATAAAACAATAAAACATTAACTTTGACAAATTTTAATGAAAACATATGGAAGTTAATTAATTATTTTTATGATTGAAATTTATTTAATAAAATACAATTTGACTAAGTTTGAAATTACACGTATTTATTCTGTTTAAAAAGTAATAAGACTAACATTTATGATAAAATATTTGTGGTACTATAATAATTTCCAATAAATTTAGCATTTTCTGCTTTCGTGTATAAAATTACATAAAATTATAAAACACCAACTTTGACAAGTTTTAATGAAAACATATGGAAGATAATTAATCATTATTATTATAAAAAAATTTTGCACGAAATACAATTCGACAAAATATAAACTGACACGTATTTATTCTTTTATGCATTTAAAAATACTAAAACTAACATTAATGATATTATTATAATAATATTCTTTAAATAGAATTGTTTCCATATAGGCTATTTATGTACGATACAAAAAGTTGCCATACGACTTAATTAAATAAACGAAAAGTAAATACTAGGAATTCTTATTATAATAATCCCTCAACTTTTATAATTATACACCATCAACAGATTTGCATCGAAGAGTTTTTCATCATAGTGTTTTTAATCATTGTCAGACATCATCTATACTTGCTTTAAACTTGACACATCCATATTGTGCCGATAACCCAATATACTATCGTTTTTTCCCTAATTATTTATTCCTATATTTTAGGTCAAACGATAAAGTCATATAGAAAAGGAGTAAGTATTACTAGTGTAACAATTTCTCTTAAAAAAAAAAAAAACTAAGAAATATTTATATGTTAGTTATAATTTTTACGGAAACCTGACTACCTGCCCACAAAAGTGGATTCAAAATAACAACTTTTTCACAAAAGTCAATTTTTTCAACTTAACTTTTGATAATGTTCCGAAAATACTGCGTAATATATATTAAATTAAAGCTTATGTCACGTACAATAAATTAAAAAAAAAATCAGCACAGGGGGGTCGCGGCACGGTGGTGACGTGGCATAGTTGGATCAAGTATAATGATATCTGACAGTGATTAAAATCACTATCAAAAAAAACGCTTCGATGCAAATCTTTAGATAGTGTTTAATTTTAAAAAATT